ATTGACTGATGGAAATCTGACAAGGAGAAATGTTTGAGGTGCAAATGCAAAAATTATAGGCGAGGTCCTGGCTCTATTAAAGTCAAAACTCTCATTGACTTCAGTTGGCCAGTATTTTACACTATGACCTCCCCAGTGACCTTTCTGATCAGCCTGCATCCAAGTCCATCACTTAGGCAGACCAGACAGTTTGACAGAGGCCTAAGGACATACTCTAACACCTCTCTCAGGCTCTCTGTCTCAGGAAAATGGTTTTTGTGCACATAACTCAAGTATCCTTTGAACTGTGTACTTTGCCTAGTTGCCAGACAGGGCCTGGATGAAATGGGAACAAGTGGGCAGAACTCTTGGTGGTTGTCCTAGGTACAGCAGGGAGGTGATATGGATGCGACACGTGTCTTTAAATATCTGTATCTCTAAAAATACTGATTTGGTTTGAATTTAGTAATGGAAAATGCCAGTTGCAAAGAAATTTTAAGAAGTTATGAGTGAGTTCATGACATAGGTTCATGAGCAGGGAAGGTTTTGAGAAGAGAAATCATATTTTACCTTGTGCTACTGTGTGCATTACAAGTGCACAGTGAACTATCAATCACATTGTATTATCAAAGTGCAAATGGATATTAAGGACCAAAATTGTCTCTCTGAGGTATATGTTCCTCTCCCTTTGAAATCAATGGAGGGTAACATTTGAAAGGTATGTTTGAATAGGATTAAATTGCAAATCGATATGCTAAAAATCACTCTCAAATATAATTTAGAACAGGCGAGTTTGGAAGAGCTGTGTGCAACTGACTGTGTCTTCATTGTGAGGCTGCATTTTGCTAATTTAAACCATACTTTCAATGCTGTTTTTGTCTCTGAATTCTTTTGCTACTGGGCTCATCTAGCTGCTCAGTGATCTCAAGACCCTACAGTGATCATGAACTAGAAGCAGTCTCTGGGAATGTCATTTGGTTGGAGATAATAGAGCTCTTTAAACACTTAAAGCCCATTTTCTTCCGTCTGTACTGAAATTGATCTTGCTCTATCCGTCCATTATTTTGTGAAATAATAACCCATCTTTGCTTCAGATTTTTATTGTGATCATTATGAAAGGCAAAAAAAGAAAATACCATATATGCAATCAGTGAAGATTCTATCTTAGTGATAGCTTTTCTTTCTGTAAGGCTAAATAGAGCCTGATCCTTTGATAGCAAGAGATGCTGAACAGCCTCACACTTGGCGTCTTCAACTGCTACTGAATTTAGTAGGATTTCTTCTCTTGCTTGACCCCAGGCAAAAGGACTGTCAATAATCGCATTACTCAGGATATACTTTAATGAGAAAAAAAATCAAAATGTTTCCATCTGTGTCTTTTATTAAGTAATGCAAAATACAGTACTAATTATGACACTGCATGCATTTTAGACAATATAAATGCAAGCCTACGGAAAATATGTGACAAGAAACCCTCAATTACTTTTGAGGTAGTATACAAGGGGAAAATAGGGCAGCAGAAACACAATGAAGTAAAAGAACAAAATATTTGTATCACATTGTGCATACATTATTCACTCATAGATACATGTGTATGAAATAACTTAGGTTACATTTCTGTTCTCCTTTAAAAATATACTTCTTTGAATTCACCGTTCTCGTATATTTCAGTTTCACAGGACGCGGAGTTTACGCTATTTTATCTGATGGGTTTATTTGTTGTCACCGCAATAATGATGTCACCCTTTTCCTCCAAGAGTTTAGGCACAGCTGGCCTCATGCACAAAAATAAATAAGAAACCTGCTTGAAGGGAAAAGAGTACTGCTCAAATAGCTGATATTAAGGAGAGTCTAATAAATACCATTTTGTTTATAAAAATATTTCAGGTTTATAAAAGAGGGGGAAGGGTAGTCTCCCAGATGGACAGGATGGTGTGTGAAAATTGTAATGCGTTTTGAACAGGTTTTTGTCTCAAACCTACAGTACCATTAGGACTATATATTTTATAATAATCCTGTTTCTTAGAACCTGGTCATTCACTAGACGTATCAAATGGTGCTTGTTTGTTTTCTTATTGCAGTTCTGGAAGATGGTTAATTTAGAAGGGTTCCATATAATTGTGCTTTTGTAAGGCTGTCCTTCCGACTCAGACCTGTACTCCCAGTCCGTTGAAACTGCTGCTGTTTGCTATGAAGGCCTGAATGGCTTCCTTGCTCCATGGAAGACTGGTGGATCTCTGAAGCCTCCATCGAACTCTGATTGAGAGATTCTGCTGAGCTGTTTGGGCTTACATTGACATACTCCCTTTTCAACACTGGGCTACTTTCCATATTTTTGCTACTGCACAACTGGACCGTTATCCGTTCATTTTTTTGGTCTCTTGATTCTTTTGTTTTGTAAGATGGTAACTTGTCCTGTTTACAGCTACTGCTGATGTCAATATTCAGGCCACTGTCTGTTCTCAGGAAGCAAGAATCCACAAGTCTGCTTTGGCAGATATCATCTCCCTCCGAGAAGCTGTCTGCTTTGTAACTAGCATAGATGGGGCTTGCTCGGCTCTCAGTTTTTTTGACTGGACTGCTGTAGTACTGTTCTGAAAAACTGCAGGGGGACAGTCTGCCAGTGTTCCTATAAGAATATGCACCAATGTCCTCTGCACTCAGCTGCCTCCACCGACCGGGTAAGTCTTCTTCTGAGAGATGGGTGCTTCTGCACTCATTCCTCATTTTCTGACTTGCCAACACCTGTTGCGTAGTTATGGCTGAGAAATGGAAAGGCTCATTTGCATAAGGAGACAGAGTCCTAGTAAAAGTGGGAGAGTTGTCATTGTCATCAGCAAGTTCCATGTGCTGCACAGGTTTGGACTTGGCAAACCTAGGACTTCCCTGATGTTCGTAACCTGAAGATGACTTTCTGTCAAACATTTCTTCTCTGTTGCCCATGTAGATTGCTTGTTGAGAGGCTGTCAGAGTGCTGGCTTGGGCATTCTCCTTTTCCTCCGATGTAACACTAAAGCTGGAATAGGAGCTGGAGGTTGGTAAAGAGGTAACGTATTCTGGGAAGGCTTCATGAGAGAAGCTGGAATGGAAGCCATCTTCTTCTACAGTGCTGTCAGTAGAGTTCTGGGATCTCAAAAACCCTACATCTTTCACTTGCATATCAACACTCTGTCTCCTCTCCCTCCTCCTCTCCTCAGGGCAATAAAGAGCTGTATCGCTGCAATAGATGTCAGACTTGTATTGGGGCCTTTGCCCAAGCTTCCCAGTGGAGTCCTGAAAAGCAAGATCTCTTGTAGATGTGCTTGACAAATGTGAGGACAAGCTGTTTGGATCTGGTTTTTCCAGCACTTTAGCAATGACACAAGTTGGTATGGTATCAGCGAATGATGGGTGACAGAGAGGTACAGAAAGGCTGCACCCATGCTTTTCCAGATGGATGCTGACTCTTTCCTGAAAGTCAGATGGCAGCTGTAACATAAAGGGATAATGTGGGGAAGGAGAAAAGGAGGAAAATCAGTAAGGCTGTCTTATTCATGCTTATACAATTCCATACACAGGGTTAATTTGCTAATGCATTCAGTTTCATTTGGTGAGAGGGGAAACTGATTCTTAAACAACAAGAAATCTTTGCACATTTTTAAATCTGAGCCAAAGTTCTGAAACTTTCAGGTATTTCCCCATTATGGAGAGTCCTGTGAAACTGAAAAAGTCCTGTACAAGTTAAGGTGTGACTGAATATAAAAAAGGATGAGAGGTCCTGACTACAGAATTTTAAAAGTCCAGATGGCCAACTATATTCTATAGCAGCACTTCTCAGCCCATAGGTGCAGACTGCAGCTGGAATATCTGAGGGGTATCTTGGCCCCTGTTAGAGTGAAGAATCAGCTCTGTTCTTCTCCTCTTCAGATGCCCCTAAAATAATTTCCAGAGTCTATCTGTGACTGCAAGTGGACATATTAAAATACCATATAGGGACTGTACCTGGGAATCTGCATTCAGGAGTTTTCAGAAAATGTTCAGGTTAAATTCCTCAGCTGGTGTAAATCAGTGTAGCTTTATTGAGATCAAAGAGAATGCTGATTTCCACCAACTGAAAATTTATCTCTTTAATTTGTTAGCAGACTCCAAACTGATTCTTTTTAGCATCTCCCATTGTCATTAAGGTACACTTTTACAACCAGATAATCCCAGAAATTTCTCTTCTCTTTTATAACCAACAGGCAGCGACTGACCTTATAATTATGTTCAATTACTAAATAATGTTGCCATACAGAGCTTAAAGAATATAACAATTGTTGAACTAAACATCTTGATTACTCTAAGTCAAGAAAGTTTTGAGAGTGACCATTATGGATAATTATTCCATTATATATAACAGATGGTTCCTCGTTTTTCAGCTTCACTTCACAGTTTTTACAGTTGGTTTAACCCAGAAGCCTTAATGCAGTCAAAATATGACATGATGTGAAATGACAGGCCAGTTAGTTTGGTGTAGGATGAGAGTCCTTTTTATTTACCACTTCCCATGATATTTTAGGTTAATTGAGACATTGCTAATTTAAACAATGTATCCTCTGTTTGAAATAAGAGTATGCAACATTGCTGATGCTCTGGCAGACAACAATATTAGTAACAGTAGCTACAGATGCAACAAAGATTGAATAAACAAACTGCAAGGCCAAACCAATACAAATCACCATAAAGGTGTGGTCAACATTGCAAAAGAAATTCATTTTTAAATTGAAACTATTATATAGGGTAGGTATGATTTTTATGAGCATAAAGAACAATCATTACACTACTGTTTGATCTATTTTATGCATATTATTTCTGTTATTAAGCATTTTAAAGAAGATAATTGTTCCTTTTGGGGTGTTGGGTACTAGGGTTGGTATTGGTAAAATGATATTCATATAATATTAGTAATAAATACACTGCACTACAGCTCATGGAATTATCTAAAACTATGTTGGTCCATGATTTATCCATAGTTAGTCAAGCAATTTCAAAGTTTTGCAATATATCCATTTACTTAATGTTCCTTACTACATACACTCAGTTTCTGAATTAACAAATATTTCCAGTAGTAAATTGAGAATTTGCCTCTTGAATTGAAAGGGTGACCCAGCTTTTGGAAATGATGGAAACCCCCCCCCTTGAATATTTTGCGATTAAGTTCATCAGTGTGTACTTTCAGGGCCCAAGTATTTTCAGAGCTTGTGAATATTTATTACAGGAGGTAGTCCTGACTCCTGAGAGCAGTCCCAGTAAAGACTTTTGAAAACAATGGTTCTACTCATGGTAGTAAACTTTACTCCTGAAAGTGTTTGCAGGATCAGGTCACTATATGATCTGGAGGCTCTGACTCTGTTCTAGTCATTGCCCTTATTGATCAGGCAATGTAAATTCACCTTCCATTAACAGATTTATTCAATACCACAAAACCTTATATTGATTTAGAAATAATTTGTAGATTTTCCTTTTAGTTTTGTACTGAGCTGATGAAACAGAAAAAAAGGGACTCAGTGTCCTAATAGTTGTGACCTCTGCCATGAACATACATCTTGAAGGCACTGCGTACTATGTAAGAGCATCCCACAAGCTTGTTTCATTAAAATACCTTCCAAGAAGGTCTGCTGTGAAAACAGGCCATTAATTGAGGGCCTAATTCTGTTTCCATTAAAGTCAACTGGCAGAATGGGAGTAATTCCAAAGTGTCTCAGAGGTCACTGTAAAGACTTGCAGTGAAATCCTGATCTTCCTGCGTGACTTGTCAGTATTGTTATTAACCTCAGTTGGTAAGACCAGAATCACACTTCTCATTGGGAAAGCTAGTGAATATAGGCACAGTTTTTCCTAGAGTTTGCTTTGACTTGTGCAATGGCATAAAATAAAATGCCGTCCTGGCAATCATTTGGTACTCTTTTTCCTCAGCTTTAGAGGATCAGTTTCTCTCAGAAGGTTTGGGACAAACTAACTAATTTAACCAATACTTCTACCTTGCAAATTAAATATTTTTCTCCTTAGAAAAAAAAGTATGTTATTTCCCTGTTCGTTTGTTTTAAAATTGATTTTTGGAATTGAATGGATGGGCTTGGGATTAGTTTTAGGAGAAAAACTGATTGTGTAAAAAAGCCTTGGCAGCAGTAGGATTTCATTATTTTCTTTTATCATTTTACATGATAGAGGTCTGAGCAGTCTCAGTCCTTTGATTTTCAATAGGGTCGGTGCAGGCCTGCTCCAATCCATACCAGAGCTTTTGGAAAAGGGAGCATCGCCCTCTTTATCTGAAACTGAGATTTTGTAACAATCCCTCAACTGCACAGAAAGTTAAGAGGTATAGTCAGTCTTTCCTGTTGCTTAAAGGAAATAGAAAACCCAATGATTTAAATGCAAATGGGTTTTGGGATTGATGCACACAGAACAGCCTGTTTTTCAAGAAACGTTATTTCTTTGTATATTCATTAAGTTTGTTCACGTTACCTCAGAAAGCTTATGTGCCCTGTTGTAATTCTTGCTGCACTGGAGCAGCTGAGCAGCTAAATTGCAGTCCTTTCTATAGAGCTCCTAAAAAACAAAAAAAGCCTGTTTTTTACATTTGCAACTAGCCTGAGGCATTGATTCCTGCTCTCATTTCTGGGCAATCCTTGTATGCTTTACTCTGGGAAAGTGTAGACCATACTCTATATTTCTAAGTCATTACGGTTCTACTTTCCTTGCATAGTCCCAAAATGTTAGCTCCCCCCAGGGTACGAAAGGAAAGGTGAATAAAATGACCAAGAAAGAAACTTTTGAAACAGTTTTACTTCAAGAACAGCTTGAGAGCATGGGGTGGGTACTTACCATGAGGAACTCAGCATTATATAGTAAATATACCTGAGAGACTAAGGGTACCAATATACAGATTAGCTCTATATTGCAAAGGAAATACCAGTAAAGCACAAATGTTCTTTACTGAACATCCCCTTAAAGCAGCACTTGGAGACCATATTCGAAATATCTGAAACAGTCTCATAAGGCTGTAAGGGAAGTTTACGGAGTTTTACCACAGGTTTTAAACATTCCTTTGTGTCTTTATGAAATACTTCCTGGCTCATTAAATGCGCTGCAGAATGCAACTCTGCAAATATCATAAATCTCATTGCATAGTTATTTGATGTCTTTAGTGGATCAGGAAGTACCAAGAGAACTTCACGCAGGGAAAAAGCAAATTTAACACCAGTTAGTTACATTGTTTTTGTGGTGGAATGGCTCCTGCAGCCTGTTTAATGGAGGAATTCAGTACAGAAATCTGTGCTTAACTCAATATTCAGCCTTGCTTTGTGCTACCCTACTATACCCAGCTGTACCCTCCACTGCAGCAGGTATAGGACCCCTGGGATGCAAGTTATACATGGCTTATTTCTGGTAAGGTGCCATTAAAAAAAACAAAACCTATTTTCAAACGTAGGCTCTATAGACATGCATTGAGGAGGTACAGAAAACATTAAAAACCTTGAGGCACCAGGCCACGCAAATGCACAGACATTATTATAGTGTTTGTAAAGAAAATGTGGTTAGGTTTAAAATAGCTTCATTGTTTTTTTCTGGGTGCTGAGGCTATCATTTCAGAGCAGACAGACTTTTCTCGTTCCATTTATTCTTCTGAAAATGAATGCACATTTTCTATGAAAAGGAAAGGCAGGAAGAGTCTCTTTTGTGAATGCTATTGTTTGAAAAAAATCTTGCTGTTCTGGAAAAGCAGGCTCTGTAAGATGTTTGGGGGATCAGTTTGCTGTGAGATATGGGAAAAGCACATCCACATTTTACTTGCTCCATGTTGACATCTACAATTTCAAATGCTCTTATTTGAAAATTATTGCTGCATTATCTACTTTTCTTTTCAGCTTACTCTACACAACCCATTGCCTGTCTCTAATGTAAAGCTGGGGGATGGGGGACGGTAAATAAATTCCACCCTAATAAATTTGTTGTTGGATTTTATGTTAGTAAACGGGATCTCTATTCTAAAAAAACAGATGCAAACAGTAGGAATCCAAACATTGAATTTAAAAGCAAAATCTCTGTTGCATATGCATGTGATATTGGCATATTTTACATAGATATTTTATACTGAGTGCATTCCTGCAAAAATATAAAAACACAGACAGCCAATAGAAATTCCTTGTGGAACAATTAAGCAAGAATGAAATCACTCCAAAGGCTCATCTCTTAATTCAAGACTGGGCATTTCCTCCTCTGTGAAGATGTTGCCATGGCAAGCACAGAATACAATGTTGACACTATTTTTAGCATCTTTAAAAAAAAGTACAAAGAAAATCACATGTAAGTTGAATGTAGTGAATGTATCTTGTTCACAACATGAAAGCATACATGACCTCATTGGAATTAATCATCTCCTTTAATATAATATTAATTCAAATCAGCTCCAGAAGGGCAAAAGCAGAGCAATAATTGATCAGTAGGTTTCTCTCATATTCCCTCACATGTTTGCTAAAGCTATAAGGTATCATTCATTAGTGGCATTCAGGGGAATGGGGAAAATATCATCCACTGAAGAAATATCAGCAGTGATTTACAGGTAAAGCAGTGATTTACAGGTACCTTACAGGTAAAGTTCTGTTTTTCAATAGCATCTCCAGTTAATCCTTGTTTATAATATTAAAGATCTATGGGGCGGATCCTTATCAGAGCACATTTGACCAAATTCAATCACAATTTCTTAGCTGTCATTGCTCCATTAACCTTGGGGACAATTCTTTTTGTTGTGATTCACTCTGGGGCATAAGGAAATGATTATGGGTCTCAATCTTAGAGTATGGGATACAAACTATTTACTGAAGAGGAAAGAGGGATGGTACTTCAGAGCATCACTGGCTGCGTGGGAACTGTTTGGTTGTACATTACTATCCCATGGTATGTAAAAGCTAGACCAGGGTAATTTCCCTTGCTTTCAACAGAGAGTAAATTATGATGGGATAACTTCCACTTGCTACAGAGAAACAGCCTACTCATGGGCAGTTATCATGGACCACCTGATATGAAGTAATTTTTTTCCTGCTTTTACCCAACCATTAGTTATTTTTACGTCCATATCCTCTAGCTCAATGGTAATATGAATGCTGAAGAGTAACAAAAGCAGCAGGAACAACTGATTGCTCCATGTTCCATTTCAATCCATGGTGTCTTTTCAAATCATGAAAACTGAGAACTCGGCTTAGTTCACATGTTGGATCTAATTCTGTCACAATGCTTCATACCTCCTCCTGATGCCAGTGGAGTTTCCAGAATGCAGATGAAGGCAGAGGAATATCTAATTTCATTGTATTTTTGAAATAATTCCATTGAATTTAGTGGAATTTTTCTGGATTTGTACCAGTGCATCTAAAAACTGAGTTAGAGTATTGTAATTACATAGTTCTTTTAGTACAGATGTTAAACTATCAAATACATTTATCCTATTTTTTCTTATACCCTAAGTGTGTTACAAATTCAGGGACAGATTGTGAGCTCCATGCTCCTATTGGTAAGATGTTGGTTACACAATTTTTTCTGTTAAAATCAATGTAGGTATTCTTGCAGTTCACATGATTAAGGATCAGAAATCAGCATGTGAGCTTGCATATAAAACACTGAATGCAAGGCACTAAAGAGTACTAATGAGAATATAATGCCTTTTGTAATATAAATATTTTGCTTAATATCTCCAGATAGGGAGTGGTATTATAAAGTATTAAAACATGCAGTCTTTCTCTCTTTGCCAGTGCCTTTTAAGTAGGTACAATGGAACAATTTCACAACCTTTTTTGCCCCTTTCCAAATACATGATAATTCCCTACAGTGTGTAAAGAGATGCCTGGTGACAGTTGAGAAGGATATTATATGTTCATTTTACAGTAAAGGGAGATAAAGAATTATAGAAGGAACTGTCCCCAAGGAAAAATTCTGGAGCCAAGTTTAGAATTTATACCCTGGATTTCAGAATTTGGAACCTAAATTCTCAATAATGAAGATGAGTCAATCATGTACAATCCTCTCTCAGACAAGAGGTGCTTAGTGATATTGGGCCCTCTGGCAGATATTGATTTAATTTCATGTTGGGGATCTGATGAATTTTATCCTGGATCCCAGCAATTGTGCATCCTGCCATGCCACATGTGCAAGACAGGATGTGCAATTTTTAGGATCTTGGATAAAATTCATCAGATCCCCAACTGTGTCACAGGTGAGTGGTGTAATGGGAGATCCCTACCCCCTGTTACTAGAAGGAAGAGGAAAGAGTAATATAGAGCCAGTGAAGTAACTGCTGCCTGCAGACATCTAGCTGCAAGGAACAGCAGGTGTGACTAGCACAGTTAAATGGGCTTCAGCATCTGGGCCCTGTTAACTGACAGGCAGGTCAGATGACCAGCAGGGGAGAGGCTGCCCTTGAGTCCAGGGCAGAGGGACACTCTGGCCCTGACTGTGGAGGAGAACAGAAATCTTCTTCAAAACACAAAGAACTTTAGTTGGTCAGAAGAAGATGACCTACTGCCTGCTGGGAGTGAGTGCATCCAGAGTGGGGAGTATTGGATTGAGGATTGTTCACATTTACCTGGGTGGAGGGGGTTGGGATTTCTGTTGAGAACAGGTTATATGCCCAGTGCAGGTCCTGTTATGTTTATTAGCACTGGAGGATCTGGAGTGGCTGTGAGGGGTAGGCAAGAGATTGCATAGCCCAGTGTTTTGTACAGTGCCATTTTTCTTTTTTTTTCTTTTTTCTGGCAAGGAATGAGCTGGAATGGAGAGGGGCCAAAGCCACAGGGCTGAGGCCCAACTAGATGGAGCAGAGCCATGGAGCTGAAATCCAGAGCTCGGATAGAGGAACTGAACTGAGACCCAAGGAGGCAAAGCTGAAGCCTCAGGGACCTGAGACTGAAACAAGCACAGTCAGAAGATCCAGTAAACAGGGACTGAGAAAAACGTGTGAGGCATGGGTATGTCTATGGGGGCAGCTGGGGACCAAGATTCCTGCCCTGTACGGCCATGGTTAGAACTGCTAGAGTAAAAGTGGTAGAGGGAGCACCAGAGACTTAGCACTGGACTTTCCTTTTCTGGCATCTCCTCCAGAAACTTTTTTTTTTCCGTGAAGGCATGGCAGTTGAGCATAAAGAGGGAGAAGATGATAAGGGGACCAGGGAAGTGCAGGATGAGCTGGCAGATGAAGCCTGAGGCCACCTTCCAGGTTGGCCCTGTCACAGTGGGGAGCCCATCATCAGGGACTCAGTCCCCAGTGCCAGGCTCCTCACCCACTTAAACGTTCAAAGGGTGCCGCAGAAAGCATGGCATTGGAAACCAGTCCCTGATGCTAGACTTCCAGTGATGACCTTTCAATTTGACAGTGTGCTCCCTATGTGGCAGCAGGCTGAAAGCCTAATGGTGCAGGGCTGCACTACATGGCTTTCAGCCTGCTTATGTATGGGGAGTGTTTCAGCTGATGGGCTTTCAATGCTCTGGCACCTAAAAATGATGGGGTAGCTCTCCTATCCCCAACTTCTCATTCCACAAGCAGCATTCCCTCTAAGCTGCATGGCCTGCACAGTCGCGCAGGAGTGCTCATGCTGCGCTGCCAGGCATGCCTGTGCGGCCGCACACACCACACAGCTTAGAGGGAATGCTGTCCACAAGGTGCAAATGAGAAGGGATGTTAACTTGAGGTGTGGAACCAGGGATGTCATTGTGTCAGCTGGTAAACTTAAAGCTCAGCCATGCACATGACATTGGTCTGCATGATGGTGCTTTACCCTGCTACATTTTCAGTTCAAGGTATGATAGAAACCAGCCACAAAGATGTTACACATTATATGTGGAACATCCTTATGGCTTGTTTCTTGTTTTGTTGCACCATTAATTTCCTGAACATTTGGCTCGATTACTATTTATGGTGTGACTAACAGGTGAATTGTGACATAAATGCAACATCTACCAGGACTCTAAGAGTCCTATTCTAGGAATCAATGATCGGAAAAACTGGGAAGTGAAGAAATTATATTAGCGGTAACAAATTTATGGCCATGTGTCTATTTATTGTCATACCCATGCCCATATAACTATAATTTGCATGCAGACACTGATAGGTGCAGAGCAGGATTTGCTCATACACTATCTTGGGACCTTTGTTTCAGGGAAGTATGCTGAAACTGGTTTATAGTAATATAGAATGCAGTTTAGTTAAATTCTCCAAATTTGGGGTATAAAGACCAGTAGTAACAGTTATTACAACACAACAACTGAAATGTAAGAAAAGCTAAAATTATAGAGTAATGAGAAACTTCCAACATAGCAACATTTCTGATTATAAATTTGACAAGTCACACTTTATGTAAAGAATAGGAAATTAATCTTTAATTCTATATAAATTATGTGGCCTAATTTGCTTTCATATACGACCTTGGGAGGCATCCATAATTAAATACTTACATTATCTTCTGACAACTTATCTATTGTCACCTTGGCTTCTATTAAATGATTATTGAGCGCAATTATTTCATGGCTTAAAGCCCTTTTTTCCTCTTCATAATGTTGACCCTGTGTATAGAAATGGATCAATCAGTATTTTTTCCACTGTAATATAATCCCAGAAAACTCCTCAAAGCTTGATGCCATTTTCAAAACCAAGATGCATAACATGAACAATGTATTCTCCCCTCCAGCTCAGATCGGTTGCTTCTTTTACACAGCACATTAGAGAATATGCTGTGATAATGTGGAGGCCAAATGCATTTCACATTAAGAAAAAGAGAAAAAGAACTAATGTTAAATACTAATACAGACAACAGTGATGATGATGATAATCCAGCTTCATTGAAAATGGGTTCTACTAGGGTAAGCCTAGGGAGGACTTTGATCTTCCTTGACCAATATACCAAAATTTGTTCCAGTCACATCCTTGGTTTCCATTTCCATCAAGCTGGAGAAGCTGCAGGCATCCCAGAACACAATTGATCTAAGGGCTGTCAAAAATAGATCAACTAGTGTGTCCATTTCTAAAATGAATGGTTTGTCCAATTGATTGATTGATTGTGTTAATTTCAAGGGGGTTGAGCAAGCTATGGAGTAACAGAAAAAAAAAGGTCTGAGCGGGTGAAGTTTAAGCCAACCAATAGGAAATTCTGAACAAAGTGTGGGAAGTACATGAAATTCTACATTTCTCCTGAACTTAGGTTGCAGAGGAGTGCCTACCCAAAGGCATGAGTTAGACACCTATGTACAACTGGACTATGAAACTCAAACTCCTGCTTAGCCTTAGATGCTCAAGTTTCTCCCTTTACTTGCAAATGACTGGCATGGTGTTGGTGCTGCCATCATTGTCCACCTTTTGTGTACTGGCTTATTGGTTAAAGTTCTTGTCTGGGAAATAGGCCTAGAGCTCAGGTGTCCTTTCTCAGCATCTCCCACTAGCATCAAATCTGTAAAGTGTCCTTTACTTCCCGTAACCACTGAGCTACAGGCAAGTTTGGGATTGTGCTACTCTCCATCCCTTTTGTTGGCTAGCCACAACAGGAGTGGTGGGGAGTAGCCACATCCCAGACTTGCCTATATCCTGTCTGCTAGGGTAATTTCTTGGGAGATTTCTCCTGGTGGCTGAGAAGAACCAAAAAATATAAGGCTCCTACTGCCTGGACAAGTGCTGTACTTACTAGACTATTATAAAAGGTGTGCAACATAACTACCATTATGAATACGGTTTTTGGTGCCAAATTCAATTCCAAGTTTGTGTTAGGCATGCTTGGAACACACCTATAAATGGAACTCCTCTGAGGACTTAGGCACAAGGACAACAAGTTAGAGACTCCCAGATGACTTTAGGGGGGAGATTGGAACCTAAATGTTCATCTTAGCCAAGATGGCGGTGCCTCTAAGTTTGCTCAAGTAGCTGAACTTTAGGCATTCTAAGTACATTTCTGGTGAAAATGAAAGCACCCAGGGAGTCTGAGGCACCCAAGGGGGTCAGGTGTGTTTTTTGTGAATTGTCATCTTGGTCTTAGGGAATTAAACTGTATCAAAATTGTACTTTAAGCTCTAAAGTACTTCTGAATTTCACTCAAAGTGATTTGTCCAAGGTCTCACAGGCAACTATGAGCCTTAATCTTCTGACTCTCAACCCAGTAGGACTCCAGTCCCTCACTCTATTTCAGTGTTTCCCAAGCTTTTGATACCTGGGGCACACTTTTTTCTGGACTAAAATTGGTGGCATGCTTCACTCTTACACTGGAAAACAGTAGTGTAACTTAGTAGGGGCATTTGGGTGGGGTGAGGGGGAACTGATCTCAGGCACTGACTATGAGGCAGCACCAGGAGGCCCCGTGCCAGGAGTCTGCCATGGCAGGAAAAGCTCTGTACTACTGTCCGGCCATAGGAGCCAGGCAGCACGGTGCCACACCAATCAGTATGTCTCGGGGGTGGGAGGTGAGTGTAGCAGATGGAATAGCACTCTACCTCCCCTCCTCCAGCCTTTGCAGCAGCAGGAGAAATCTGTGCTGCCTTTGCCTGGCCATAGAAACCAGGCAGTGAAGCACCATGCCAATGTATCTGGGGAGTAGGGAGAATGGGGCTCCCCTCCCCAGTCAACTGTGGTTGGCATAGCCTCACATCCCCCCACCCAGGTGCTCCATGAGCTCCCTACACCCCTGCCTGCTAAAAAGGCATATTTCAAAACATTGCCTAGTCCATTCCCCTGCCAGAGCTGAGATGTACCGTTAAGAAAATGACACCAAATATATCTTTCTTTAAGCAAAGGATTAATTTCTACACCAGTTGTTCTCAACCTTTTTAGCCTCAAAGGCCCCCTCCATAATGTTTCTGAATGTTGTGGCATCCCAGTTGAATATTATTGAGAGAGATCTTAATTCAGAAAACATGGAGGGGGGAGGCCTTGAGGCTAAAGCTGACAATTGGTGATCTAGTTGGTGCCACTTAAGTTGGTGCCCCTGCTGCTGAGGCTGCTCCTGAAGGGTCTCACATGCTGGCAACTGCCCCCACAGCCTGTCCTGCTGGACCTGGGCGCATGGGAGGAATGGAGGGGATGGGCTGGGCTGCAAATTGTGCTTCTGTCTGTGCATCTGTCCTTGCACAGCAGGGTGCACTGCTGGGAGTGTGGGGGGTTGAGTGGGGCTGGCATAGAAGCTATTGGGTGGGGAAGGGCAGCAGAAGCAGCAATCCCCAGAGGAGCAGTCGCAGACTGCTGGAATAGTTGGGGAAGGCTCAGGGTGTCAGGTGGGGAGGAAAGTATTTACTTCCTCACACATGGGGCTCTTACAGCACACTTCCATTGCTCTTGCAGCGCATCACCCATGTGCAACACACCATTTGGGAATCAGTGCTCTATTTAGTAGAGGCATTAATTGATGTGCTCCAGGAGTGGGGGGTGGCGCTTTACCTAGAGTGGCTCTGAGAGTATTGAAGCGTCACATGTATCAACAGCCCTGTACTAAAAAATGGCAGTGGGGGCGCCTTAACTGAAGTTTGTTGAATGAGGTTTAGTTAAAGTGCTCCCACTGCCATTTTTCAGCGTGGCGATGCTGATACACGTGACACTGGAGTCTCTTGGAGCACAGTAATTACCATGCTCCAGCAGACTTGATTAATTGAGTCTGCACTGGTTGCCACTGCTTCTTCACCAAAATGAAGCTCCCAATAATGCTGTGGTAAGATCTTTTAAAAAGCAGCATAATAAATGAGATGATTAGTCAGGATAAACACTAACCGACATCTAGTCTGCTTTGATTGTTCATTCTAGCAATGGGTTCAAGACCCCACTTCTCACTCTAGATTTCTTAAAATATGTTGTGAAGCATTTCCTCCAACAGGCAAACCATATCAGATATTTAAATTTCCCAAGTGTCTTGTGTGTGTCAATATGACAGAGTCAAGAAAGTCTTCCATCAGTCTAGCTCAGCGTTGCTTGACAGCAATGGGAGTTGTGTGTCCTGAGGACACAAAACAAATATCAAGGTTAATTATTTGGTTGTGAAGCATGAATCTACAATAAAATGTAATTATTAAACTGAACTGTGGCAAGTATGTAGTACTACATACTAAGTAGTTCTTTAAAAAAACGTATTTGAAAATGATTTATTCTAGGTGAATTTGGTGCCTGTTTTCAGGTATTTGTTTCTTATTGATTTGCCATACAGGAACAGAACAGGTAAAGTTGCAGTGATTTTTCTGTGCCGCACTCTTCCGA